TTTTTTTTTTCTTCTCTTTGTTCTCTGCGGATCGTTCTTGACTACAGAAAATTTGACTATTGAAAATGGCGTGGTCTGGATTCTTCTATAGTACTCGTGGTCTTTTGAGGGGTAGTCTGTTCATTGTCAAAAGTACATACTTCGTATTCATTGAGGTTTTCTATCTCGTATGTACGGCCCGTTCCGAGTCGACGATGATGTACATCTACGGAAGCTATCAGGGAAGTTATCCAGCAAGTATAAGATGCTTACGAATATAAGTTAGAGTACTCTATATATCTCCATTAAAGGATAACGATCATAGAAGTACAGGTTACACCATGCTCCTATTTGCAAATATCATCCGATGTGCATGTACCTAGACCTGTCAACATCCGCACCTCCCGTGCTAGCTGCCGGTTGCCTCGTCTCAATGTCATATACCGTGCATATAGTTTAACATTTTCTTTGTCCCAGTGGAAAAAGGGTCTCATCAACATCTGTCACTTAAGCTCACTTCACCGCTTGTCTATCGCTTCCGTTCCCAGTGCTCCATATCTGATAGAGATCCGTGTCCGTGTACAAGTACGTATGTACATAGTACATAGCTATGGGGTCCGACAGAAAAATCAAATGCCGACGGGTGCCTGTCCTCCGTGGCTTAGAACGTACGTACTATGTACCTGGACTGGTTGAATGATATTGTTTTTTTTTTTTTTTTAAGGCACGAGATGAACTAAGTTATTAGACTGGAGGGAGGAATTTTGTGGTGCCATTAGGTATATCATGCTATGGTATGCTATGCTATATGTTAAAATGATTGTCATGGTAGGAGATATACGCGCCATGTACGAACGGTGTGCGTATATGTACAGTGTACAGTGCACAGATGGCGGTGGCTGTGACAGTCAGTAACAGTGACAAGGTAGGAGTGGGGAGGGGGCTCGATTGATTAGATATATGTTGTTTAATTCCTTGATTGTCCAAATATAGGGTGCAACAGGTGTAGCAGTACGTGGTGAGGTGAGGCTACCTCGGCATGTATATACATATATCCTTGGACTACTAAACTCACGAAGCTCGGTGATAGGATAGGACATAACTACTCTCTACCCTGGCATACATGATTCTGTATGACTTTCATGGATATAAATCCTACACCCAGAACGTAGCCGTTTCTTCGCCCCCAAAAATGAAAAGAAAACAGTCGGTCGAACACGAACACCCACGTGCCAATATCTCAGTTACAATGGATGATGCACTTACCGCTCCCCCACGATAGTAAGCTGCCCCTACCAATAGTATAGACATACTATTATTCCGGTCGTAAATATAATATGGGCAGCAACAAGGATCACAAGTGATGCTGATGTTATGCTATGCTATGTTATGCCATGCCATGCAACCGCCACAGCCTGGCTCAAATCGCAATCCCAACTGCTGACAACAACCAACCATAACCATCGCCGCATTATCGACAGGGACTCACCGAAACACGTTCATCCGGGGTATTGGATTAGATCGGATTGGGCGCGACGATGCGCTGCACGTAAGTTGAAAGGCATCTTAGATTTGAGATGTGGGCGTTGGTTGGGGAGATACCATATAATCTACGGGGCATTATTGTGTGCATTGGCTGCATTTCATTATTTACCTTGGCGAGGTGCCGAGGATAGCGCCCATAGCGACAATGTCTAATCGCATTTGACGCTGACAAGGATGTGTCTTTTTTTTTTGACTTGCGCGAGTAACGCCCTCCAACCACGTGCGAGTGCTGGTCGTAGTCAATGCACTCCGGATCAGGGATCAAGATCAATATATTTATGTCGTAGCATTTAATACGGTCGGCGAATGATAACTGTCGTGAATCAAATATATTCATTTGCCGCTACAGCCATCGTCAAATAAATGTCTGGACTGGTCCGTAGACAGACAGGCAGTCATCTCTTTTGGAAACTCTAAGAGAGATTAAATGACGAAGGAAAAAAACCGTTCCCAGCCGAGAATAAATTTCTTTTTTTGTTCTCATATCATTTCGCGCCCACTAAATGACAAAAACACCCGTAGCTAATGCATTTCCGTTTAGCGCTTTCCGGCCTTCTGAGACTCCTTGAGGACCTTCTTGACAATCTTCTGCTCCTCAATCAAGAAAGCACGGACAATGCGGTCCTTGACACATCCGGCGCAGCGGGAACCACCGTAGGCACGGCTGACGTTCTTCTTGGGGCGGGAGATCTGGGAGTATTCACGGGGGCGGAGGGCGGGAACCTGGAAAAATACTGTCAGCGTTCTGTCGTCTCGACTCGCAAAGAAAAGCGATGCTATCGTGCGGATTATGCGGCAATCTCTTTTTTTGTTGTCGTTCGTCCACCACAGATTTTTCAACCGAGATCTCCAATACCGCAAAATCCACACAACCCGCACTCGCAAATCCAAAACTTCACTCGGGAGCACATACACCAGGGAGCTTGATGCCACAGTCACCGCACTTGGGAGCAGTGCCCTTCTTCTTGATGTGGAGGTACCGGAGCTCGCCGCCGGGGGTCTTGACGATGCGGACCTGGTTGGACCGCGTGTTGTACCTGTAAAATTCCCATCAATATCTGTCTCGCAGCAGTGGTGTGTTTCGCGTAGAAATTGGATAGACAAGAGGTTGAATCCGGGCGATTGAGGAAGGGAATTTCCAAACGTACGGGTTCCGTCTCCGCTGTGAAAGGAAGTAATCAGTATTTCATCCCTATAATTGATTCGAGAAAAATGGAAGAACTCACGTATTGCAATCTGTTGTTCGCCATTTTGTCTGTTCTCGGACCTCTGCAGCGCTGGTCAAGAAGTTGGCGGCGGCGTCGTCGGGTGTCGTCGTTGACCTCGTAGAATTGTCAAAGGTTTCTGGATTTGTGTGGGTTTCGCTCGGAGCCCTGGGCGGGAATTTGGCGAGCTCGCGCTATGCCACATCGGGACTAGTGCAATTTCGGAGCAGAGCCGCCACCTCTCAAGCTTGCCATCAAGGATTGCCGTCCCTACGTTAGTTAGAGCTTCACCCGTTGCGAGAAGGGGGATTGTCCAGGTGTTGGTTCTTTTTCTTTCGGGTTTTATTATTATAATTGCTTGACCATTTTATACTACGCATATTTCCTGTTTCTTCGTTGATGGATTCGCGGTCTTAATGAGTAACTTGACGTGATTTGAGACGCGACTTTTACGCATCGACCATCGACGAGCTTCCACGAAGAGACTCCTTCCATCCCCAAACCCATCATAATGGCCTCGTTGCCTCCTCCCCCTCCTCCGGGATGGGGTGCATCGGCGCCTCCCTCTTTGCCCATGGCTCCTCCTCCGCCGGGATACCAACCGCCAGCCGACCCGACTGTCGCAAAGTTTGCGCAAAAGAAGAACGAATGGCTGCGGACACAGCGCAACCGGTTCGGGGAGAAGAGAAAGGCCGGCTTCGTCGAGACCCAGAAGGCAGACATGCCGCCAGAACATCTGCGGAAGATTGTTCGGGATATCGGCGACGTGTCGCAGAAAAAGTTCAGCAACGAGAAGCGTAGCTATCTCGGCGCACTCAAGTTCATGCCTCACGCGGTTTTGAAGCTTCTGGAGAACATGCCCATGCCTTGGGAGTCGGCTAAGGAGGTTAAGGTGTTATACCATGTCAATGGGTGTCTTACGCTGGTGAACGAGACTCCAAGGGTCATCGAGCCCGTGTTCCATGCCCAATGGGCCACCATGTGGGTGTGCATGCGGAGGGAAAAGAGTGATCGGAGACATTTCAAGCGAATGCGTTTTCCACCCTTTGATGATGAAGAGCCGCCGCTTTCCTGGTCGGAGAACATTGAGGACGTTGAGCCCTTGGAGCCGATTCAGATGGAACTCGATGAGAACGAAGATGCCGCCGTCTACGAGTGGCTCTACGACCACAGACCTCTCCTCGATACCCCCCATGTAAACGGCCCGAGTTATAAAGAGTGGAACTTGACTCTCCCGCAGATGGCTACCCTTCACCGGTTAAGCCATCAAATACTTAGCGATGTCGTGGATAAGAACTACTTCCACATGTTCGACCTTAACAGTTTCTTCACCGCCAAGGCGCTCAACGTTGCCATCCCTGGTGGCCCTCGGTTCGAGCCGTTGTACAAGGACATCGACCCCAATGACGAAGACTTCAGTGAATTTAACGCCATTGATCGCATCATCTTCCGCGCCCCCATCCGTACCGAATACCGCGTCGATTACCCTTTTTTGTATAATACCCTTCCGCGAAGTGTCAAGGTTTCTTGGTACTCCCATCCCCAGGTAGTCTACGCGCGAACCGATGACCCCAACCTCCCAGCATTCTACTTCGACCCCGTCATCAACCCCATTTCCTCACGCTCCGTTGCACCAAAGAATATTACCGTCAGCCACGAAGATGAGATTTTCGGCAATGATAACGAAGATGATTTCGAACTTCCGGAAGAGGTTGAGCCCTTCTTCGGTGATGAAGAACTCTACACCCCCGACACGGCGTCGGCTATCGCACTTTGGTGGGCACCTCATCCGTTCAACAAGCGTTCTGGGAAGATGGTGCGCGCACAGGATGTGCCGTTGGTGAAGCAGTGGTATTTGGAGCACTGCCCCCAGGGCCAACCCGTCAAAGTCCGGGTGTCATACCAGAAGATGCTCAAATCCTATGTGCTTAATGAACTGCACAAGAACAAGCCCAAGGCCCAGAACAAGCAGAACTTGCTTAAGACGCTTAAATCGACCAAGTTCTTCCAGCAGACGACGATCGACTGGGTTGAGGCAGGTCTGCAAGTCTGCCGCCAGGGTTTCAACATGCTCAACTTGTTGATCCACCGTAAGAACTTGACCTACCTGCACCTCGACTACAACTTTAACCTAAAGCCCGTCAAGACCCTCACCACCAAGGAGCGCAAGAAGTCTCGTTTCGGTAACGCTTTCCACCTGATGAGAGAGATTCTTCGCTTGACCAAGTTGATCGTCGACGCCCAAGTTCAGTACCGGTTGGGTAACATCGATGCTTTCCAGCTTGCAGACGGTATTCTTTACGCCTTCAACCACGTCGGTCAGCTGACTGGTATGTACCGTTACAAGTACAAGCTTATGCACCAGATCCGTTCTTGTAAGGACTTGAAGCATTTGATTTACTACCGCTTCAACTCCGGCCCGGTCGGTAAGGGCCCTGGTTGCGGTTTCTGGGCACCCGCCTGGCGTGTTTGGCTGTTCTTTATGCGTGGCATCATACCTCTCCTTGAGAGATGGCTTGGAAACTTGCTTTCTCGTCAGTTTGAAGGTCGTCACAGCAAGGGTGTTGCCAAGACCGTGACCAAGCAGCGTGTGGAATCACATTTCGACCTTGAGCTGCGAGCTTCGGTTATGGCCGACCTGATGGACATGATGCCTGAGGGTATCAAGCAGAACAAGGTCAACACGGTCCTTCAGCACCTTTCGGAGGCATGGAGATGTTGGAAAAGTAACATTCCATGGAAGGTGCCCGGCCTGCCTGCTCCGATCGAGAACATTATCCTCCGTTACGTCAAGAGCAAGGCCGACTGGTGGATTTCTGTCGCGCATTACAACAGAGAACGTATTCGTCGGGGTGCCACTGTCGATAAGACTGTCGCGAAGAAGAATCTGGGTCGACTCACGCGTCTCTGGCTCAAATCTGAGCAAGAAAGACAGCACAACTACTTGAAGGATGGTCCTTACGTCTCGTCCGAAGAAGCCGTGGCGATCTACACCACCATGGTGCACTGGCTGGAATCCCGCAAATTCTCTCCGATCCCCTTCCCCAGTGTTTCCTACAAGCACGACACCAAGATCCTGATTCTCGCCCTGGAAAGATTGCGCGAGGCATACTCTGTTAAGGGCCGACTCAACCAGAGCCAGCGTGAGGAGCTTGCCCTCATCGAACAGGCATACGACTCTCCCGGTACTACGCTGGCCAGAATCAAGCGCTTCCTTCTCACCCAACGTGCGTTCAAGGAAGTCGGTATTGACATGAATGACAACTACAACGACATCAACCCAGTGTACGATATCGAGCCAATCGAGAAGATTACCGATGCTTATCTAGACCAATACTTGTGGTACCAGGCCGAGCAGCGCCACCTTTTCCCTGCTTGGATCAAGCCTTCCGATTCCGAAGTTCCTCCTCTGCTTACCTACAAGTGGGCCCAAGGAATCAACAACTTGTCCAACGTTTGGGAGACTTCTGAAGGCGAGACCAACGTGATGGTCGAAACGGAGCTGTCCAAGGTCTACGAAAAGATCGATCTTACGTTGCTGAACCGGTTGCTCCGACTGATCATGGACCATAATTTGGCCGACTACATCACCTCTAAGAACAACGTGCAGTTGAGCTACAAGGACATGAACCACACCAACAGCTATGGGTTGATCCGTGGCTTGCAGTTCTCGGGTTTCGTGTTCCAGTACTATGGTCTCATGATCGATCTGCTGCTCCTTGGTTTGCAGAGAGCTAGCGAGATGGCTGGTCCTCCACAGAGCCCGAACGACTTCTTGCAATTCCGCGACAGCGCTACCGAGACTAGGCACCCGATCCGTCTGTACACTCGTTACGTTGACAAGATTTGGGTGTTCATGAGATTCTCTGCCGACGATTCCAGGGACCTGATCCAGCGTTTCCTGACCGAGAACCCGGACCCGAACTTTGAAAATGTTATTGGATACAAGAATAAGAAGTGCTGGCCTCGTGACTGCCGGATGCGTCTGATGCGGCACGATGTCAACCTGGGTCGTGCGGCCTTCTGGGATTTGAAGAACCGCCTCCCTAGATCTGTCACCACTATCGAGTGGGATGACACGTTCGCCAGCGTGTACAGCAAAGACAACCCCAACCTTTTGTTCTCCATGAGCGGGTTTGAAGTCCGCATTCTGCCCAAGAACCGTAATCAGAATGAAGAATTCTCGGTTAAGGACAGTGTTTGGTCGTTGGTTAACAACTCGACCAAGGAACGTACGGCCCACGCCTTCCTCCAGGTTACCGAAGAGGACATCCAAAAGTTCAACAACCGGATTCGCCAGATTCTCATGTCCTCGGGATCGACAACTTTCACAAAGATTGCGAACAAGTGGAACACTGCCCTGATTGCGCTGTTCACTTACTACCGTGAAGGTGCTGTTGCCACCGTCAACCTGCTCGATACTATCGTCAAATGTGAAACCAAGATCCAAACTCGTGTCAAGATTGGTTTGAACTCCAAGATGCCTTCTCGTTTCCCTCCGGCTGTATTCTACACTCCAAAGGAACTGGGAGGTCTGGGTATGATCTCTGGTTCTCACATTCTCATTCCCGCCAGTGACAAGCGGTGGTCGAAGCAAACGGATACCGGAATTACTCACTTCCGCGCGGGTATGTCTCATGATGAAGAGACACTGATTCCCAACATTTTCCGGTACATCATCCCGTGGGAGGCTGAATTCATCGACTCCCAGCGGGTGTGGATTGAATACTCGCAGAAGCGAATGGAGGCTCAGCAGCAGAACCGTCGTCTGACACTGGAGGACCTGGAGGACAGCTGGGACCGTGGTCTTCCTCGTATCAACACCCTGTTCCAGAAGGATCGCAGCACGCTCAGTTTCGACAAGGGTTTCCGTCTCCGGGCTGAGTTCAAGCAGTACCAGTTGATGAAGAGCAACCCATTCTGGTGGACCAGCCAGCGGCACGACGGAAAGCTTTGGAACCTTAACGCCTACCGAACAGATGTCATTCAGGCTCTTGGTGGTGTTGAAACCATTTTGGAGCACACCCTTTTCAAGGCGACAGCTTTCCCATCGTGGGAAGGTCTCTTCTGGGAACGTGCCTGTCTTGCTAAGGGAACACGGTTGCTGCGGTATGATGGTTCAGAAGTCAATGTCGAAGATGTCCGGGAGGGAGATGAACTTCTCGGTCCTGACGGCACGCCTCGCCGTGCTTTCAACATTGTCAACGGCCAAGACCGTCTTTACCGCATCAAGATCGACTCCGAGATAGAAGACCTTGTGGTCACGCCAAATCATATCTTGGTGCTTCATCGGGAGAATGAGACCGTGGAAATCACCGCAGAGGAGTTCGCCGCCCTTGAGGCTGCGGAAAGGAGCCAGTACCGAGCCCCCAGGACCTTTCCTGAACAGTGGAATCAGGCGTCCGGGGATATTGTTGCCCAAGCTCCTAGTTTCTTCATTAAGGATATTAGTCTTGAAGCTGAGACGACAGAATGGGCCGGTTTCCGAGTCGATAAAGACCAACTTTACCTGCGCTACGATTATCTTGTCCTGCACAACAGTGGTTTCGAAGAGTCGATGAAGTTCAAGAAGCTCACCAATGCGCAGAGATCCGGTTTGAACCAGATCCCCAACCGTCGGTTCACGCTTTGGTGGTCTCCGACTATTAACCGTGCCAATGTGTATGTTGGTTTCCAGGTGCAACTGGATCTTACAGGTATCTTCTTGCACGGAAAGATCCCCACTCTGAAGATTTCTTTGATTCAGATCTTCCGTGCTCACTTGTGGCAGAAGATCCATGAGTCCGTAGTTATGGATTTGTGTCAGGTGTTCGACCAAGAGTTGGAGCAACTGGGAATTGAAGCCGTTCAGAAGGAGACGATTCACCCGCGTAAATCGTACAAGATGAACAGTTCTTGTGCCGACATTCTGCTTTTTGCCACCAACAAGTGGAACGTGACCAGACCGTCTATCCTGTTCGACACCAAGGATGTCTACGAACCCACAACGACCAACAAGTTCTGGCTGGACGTGCAGCTGCGGTACGGTGACTACGACTCGCACGACATTGAGCGATACGTTCGTGCCAAGTACCTGGACTACACTACGGACAGCATGAGTATCTATCCTTCAGCTACTGGTCTTATGATCGGTGTCGATCTGGCTTACAATCTGTACTCTGCTTATGGTCAATACTTCCCTGGTCTAAAGACATTGGTTCAGCAGGCCATGGCCAAGGTCATGAAGGCCAACCCTGCGTTGTATGTGCTGAGAGAACGTATCCGCAAGGGTCTCCAGCTGTACGCCTCGGAGAGCAACCAGGAGTTCCTGAACTCGCAGAACTACTCGGAGCTCTTCAGCCCGCAGATCCAGCTGTTCATTGACGATACTAACGTCTACCGTGTTACGATCCACAAGACGTTCGAAGGTAACTTGACCACGAAGCCCATCAACGGTGCCATCTTCATCTTCAACCCTCGTACTGGACAACTCTTCTTGAAAATCATTCATACCAGTGTGTGGGCGGGACAAAAGCGTCTGGGTCAGTTGGCCAAGTGGAAGACAGCAGAAGAAGTTGCAGCGCTCATTCGGTCTCTCCCTGTTGAGGAACAGCCCAAGCAGCTGATTGTGACTCGAAAGGGTCTTCTTGATCCGCTTGAGGTTCACTTGCTCGACTTCCCGAACATTTCCATCCGTGCTTCTGAGCTCCAGCTTCCGTTCCAGGCCGCTATGAAGGTCGAGAAGCTTGCGGACATGATTCTTCGGGCGACTGAGCCGCAGATGGTTCTGTTCAACTTGTACGATGAATGGTTGAAGTCCATCTCGCCATACACGGCTTTCTCTCGGTTGATCCTGATTCTCCGTGCTCTCCATGTCAACATCGACAAGGCCAAGATTATCCTCCGCCCCGACAAGAGTGTTATCACGCAGGAGCATCACATCTGGCCATCGCTCTCGGACGATGCTTGGATTAACGTTGAGATCCAGTTGCGTGATCTGATTCTGAACGATTACGGCAAGAAGAACAACGTTAATGTGCAGAGTTTGACGAGTAGTGAGGTTCGGGACATCATCCTGGGTATGGAGATTAGTGCGCCGTCATTACAACGACAACAGGCCGCGGAGATTGAGAAACAGCAGGAGGAGCAGAAGCAGCTCACGGCTGTCACGACCAAGACTCAGAACGTGCGAGGCGAAGACATTATTGTTACGACTACGTCTCAGTATGAACAGCAGTCGTTTGCGTCTAAGACAGAATGGCGTACCCGGGCTATCGCAACATCAAACTTGCGTTCCAGGTCGAACAACATCTACGTCTCATCGGACGATATCCAGGAGGAGGGGTACACATATATTATGCCGAAGAATGTCCTCAAGCGTTTCATCACAATCGCGGATTTGCGGGTTCAAGTTGCCGGATACCTGTACGGTAGCTCCCCACCTGATAACGAGCAAGTGAAGGAGGTGCGCACAATTGTGATGATTCCCCAAGTTGGCAACACCCGAGACGTCCAGCTGCCGCAGCAACTGCCGCAGCATGACTACCTGAACGGTTTGGAGCCACTGGGAGTGATTCACACGATCTCCGGAAACGAACCCCCGTACATGACCGCGATGGACGTGACGCAACATGCACGGTTGATGAACGAACACCCATCATGGGACAAGAAGACGGTGACGATGACTGTCTCGTTCACGCCCGGCTCCGTCTCGCTGGCGGCTTGGGGTCTCACCCCCCAGGGATACAAGTGGGGAGCGGAGAACAAGGACACGACTTCGGACCAGCCACAAGGGTTCTCCACCAGCATGGGCGAAAAGTGTCAGTTGCTGCTTAGTGACAGGTTGCGCGGGTACTTCCTGGTTCCCGAGGATAATGTGTGGAACTACAGTTTCATGGGTAGCTCGTTTGGAAGTGTCGAGAAGCGACCGATCTACACCAAGATCGATACGCCGCTGCGATTCTACGATGACCAGCATCGGCCGCTGCATTTCCAGAACTTTGCAGAGTTGGAGGATATCTGGGTTGATCGGAGCGATAACTTTGCGTGAGATTGGCTGTATTATGTGATGTGATGCGATTAACTATCGGGCGTTGTTTTATTATTTTTTTCTGTTTGTTTTCCTTTTTCATATACATTGTATTCTTTCTCATGGCATTTTTTGTTTTTTGGCGTCTATTTTTCTTCTGCTTATTCGGCTTAATGAGTGTGTATCGGAGGAGAGGAAAAGCAAAGCGATCACGAGGCATAATTTACCGGAAGGAATGAAATTCAGCTTGTACAGTAAGTGTTTCGATTGGATTATTTTCTAGAAATCAGTCAATCATAAGCATTCCTCGGCCTTCGCCTGTGACAACAAGTGTCGCGCATTCCTCGCAATCCGTATGGACGAAGTCTGAATAAATGAAATGTTTGCTTTTTTGTTTGTCTGAATGTGGACGCGGATCTGAGATGACGGCGAAATTAAGATGGAGCAGTAGTGGATAACCTCCTGATCGGATTATCGCCAACGGTTAGAGTGATGCTATCCACTTCCCATCTATATACGCACTTTCTAGTCTTCGGTCGGAGCATGCCGAAGGATGTTTGCTTTTTTCCATCTGCATCTACAGTATGTACTTGTACATGTATAGAAACACTCACAGAGTACAGACCGTTTCACTCTGAGCCGGAGAATTCTACAAGGCTAAGGCTGAATTCACAACAGTCGATAAAATCAAACAGTCGGATTAAGTTGCCTTATCCTCCACTGACTCCGTAACCCGTATGACCTCCCGTTAATTACAGAGTCGGTGCTGATGGTGATCCTGATATCCCTCTCGTCCAGCAATGATTTACAGTCCGCTTCGGCCGCTAACTAACGGAATGGCCGCGGCCGTATTTGCTCCGACTGTTTCGATGCTTGAGAATAGGAATAACTAACTGGACAAAAGAGAAATAGAGAGGAAGAAAAGCGGGAGAAACCAGCCACAGAATATTATGATTGGATCTCATCCGGACTCCTTCTCCTCCATCTTCTCTAACACTCTCTCCTTTCATTGCCCGTTCCCGTCCGCGGTGGCTTCTGTTATAGACCAGGATAGTTCAAATATGCCCCAGTCAGAGTGAAGCATGGCCTGGAACGCCCTCGCTCCGAGCCTCCGACTGAAAAAAAAAAAAAAAAAAAAAAAAAAATGGCCCACCGAACTAAACCACTCCGACAAACCAACTTGCTCCAGAGCCCAGAAATTACGGGACAGTCTTACGGGCTCAAGTGGAGAAATTTCTCGATGAATTACTATGAATGGTTTCTACTGGCCCTTCAACCTGACCGGGGTGTGTGTCTCATTGTTTACCCATCCCGAGTATCCTTTCCTTTTTCTTCCTATTTTCCTACTGTAATCCGTATAGTTAGCTTCGGATCAAGGGAAGTGAACTACTCTCAATGTCATCATCGTGTCTAGAAAGCGTTATATTAAACAAACCTACTAGAAGAAACCAATCTGGTGGTGATGGTGGTAAGGCATATGGACGCGACGACGGTGGCTGCGGCACCCCCGTCTTTGCCCAAAAGCCAAACCGAAAAGTTGCGAACGACCACTGAGGATCCTTTGTCTGGGAAAGGGTGTTTCATGATTCGCCCTTTTCTCGATTACGGCCCAGCAAAAATTATTTCTCTCACTACCTTGGCATTTGTGCATCGCCAGGCGACGTTCCGAAGAGAGCAAATACGGAGTCGTATGCTAACAAGGCGACCCTGCTGTTATGTTTATGCTTGATGATGTCGACGGTTTTCATGTCCCGCGAACTAGAGAGCGTTATTTTATTCGATTTTTTTTTATTGATGTATTTTTGGGAAGAAACACCCACCACCCCCTAAAACTAAGCTTGCCTGAACGCAGATGCAGATCGTCGAATGCGACATATTCGACCCAGTGTGCTGCAACTCTCTGAATCTGGCCGTGTTTCGTTTGTTCGTTCGTTACTGACATGACATCTTCCAGAACGTTTCCCTCTCGCAACGTTGTTAGTCGCCGGCCGGAACTAAACTATATGTATAAGTTGGTGCAAATACTGACTCGCTGAATACGCAGTAGGAGTAGTAGGAGTTTGCCCTGGAACTGAACTGTCCCACATTAATATTATATTATATATATATATATATTTTTTTTTTTTTTTCATTAGGCCTCAGTTCTCTGGCTTGGTCGCCCTTAAATATAGAATCCCATCGGACAATCAGCCGCTTGGGTTTTGCCTGGGATTATCTTCCCTCTTGCTTGCCATGCTCACGCCCGTCCACCGCTACTACCACTTCTGCTAGTTTGCTCATGAGAAATAAACGATCTCCCGAGAAAAACGGCGTTATCTATCCCTCATCCATCCTATTAAATTGACCGGCCTGACTCCGTCACCGCGCACCGTCCGGTTGGTGAACAGTGGTGAGTGAGTCCGGGGGTGTGTGTGTGTGTGGCGTCCGTCCCTTTTTAAATGGCTCGAGGGCAGGTCCGGTGAGCCTTATATTATTATTGTTTCTTGTCCTCCTATTATTATTTACTTACTACACCATATTATTTTCTCCCTTTCCGGACGGGTTTTGGCCCTAGCTTGTTCCTAGCAAACATCCCGCTTGCCTCTTTTGAATGCTCATGCACCTCATCTTCATTGTTCCTGTTTCTGTCTTATTCTACTATACTATGGTCGATTGCCTTGTCTAGTGCCTACCGCGACGATCACGTTTTAGAAAGAAAGGCAAAGAGGCTTTGTTGTTTCCTCGTTTTTTCTAACTTCATTGCGAACATCTTGAACGCGACATCATCCTCGAGCAGGATTTGCGTTGGAATCTGCTATTCCCGAGTCTTCGAATTTTGGGGATCCTCGAGTCTTCGGGTCACTCTTGTCCGCTTTTATATATGCTGCAGGCAGCTCGTGCCAACCAAACTTGAACCTTTCCCTTTTGGAGAGAATTGGCTTGCGCGATTCCCACGCGACCACCGTTTTGTTTCGGCATCGCGTTAATACCATCCCTCCCTTTTCTTTCCTTCTTTCCCCCATTTTGACTGGGTAGCCTGTCAGGGCTTCCGGGCTCCTGCAGTGCCGATGTATGTCTGCGACACAGGCAAACCCGTATCGAGACTACGCAATCGACTATTCCTACCCTGCCAATTGCAAACCCGATAACCATGGCGAGTTACTCTCCTACCACCACCCGCAGCAGCAACATTCGCAGCAACCTCAGATCCACCATCATGACAAACCGCCAGACGTCCCTTTTGCAACGGCGGGGTCGGCAGCAGCAGCAGGGGGGTCACCGCATACAGCATTCGAACAGCATCCGCATGCAAGCGCAGGTGTCATCTCAGGCCCGACATCGCAAACGATCGTCCATGGAATCCCACAGCCGGTTCTTCTTACACCGCACCAGATGCTCCCCCGGCATCACTTTTCGCCCCAGTACCCATCGACCAGTCTCGAAATTAATCATGCGCAACACGGCAAGAAGCGACCCCATGCAGAGTCAGATCCAGATCATGACGATGGCAGACGAGTCAGATCACATCTGTCGGGATTCCCAGTCGAGGGATCCGCAGAGGCTTCCCAAACACCCGATGCTCTGTTTTCGGCACAGTCCGAGCAAGCAGCATCGAGCAACGGCTTTGGCTCGCAGGCGTCGATGGCACTGCCGCAGCAACACCACCATCACCACATGCCGCCTCAAGCAACTATGCGATCGAGCCACCATAGTGTAAACTCTCGGTCGTCGAACTATTCTTCCGGTCAGCGAAGCCTCGTGGGCATGCCGGGAATGCCTAACCCGAGACCGATAACACCGCATAAGAGAAAACCGTTCACGCAAGACGATGATGACCTGGTGGTGGATCTGAAGGAAAACAAGAGATTGACCTGGAAGCAAATCGAGGAATTCTTCCCTGGTCGAACGAGTGGCACGCTGCAGGTCCGGTATTGCACGAGGCTGAAAAAGAAGAATGTGGTTTGGACGGAAGAAATGGTATTCCTCCCATCCCTCTCTTCTCCTCTTTTGGCGCATACTAACGACAACAGATACAACGGCTTCAACGTGCTATTCAAGACTATGAGAAAAACAAATGGCGGCACATTGCGGGGAAGATTGGAAACTGTGTCACGGCTGAGGCATGTGAAGAAATGGCTTCAGATCTTTGACGAATGTGTTGTATGGGTGATGGACTATGGAGTCGTGATGGTTATGTTTATTACTATGGTTATGGGGTTCCATTTGGAAGATGGGTTATTGTATATGGCGGAGTCTCTCATTTGTCGTTTTTCCTTTTGTCTGGGATGTCTATATGGGAACGGTTGGCGTGTTTGTCGTATATACTATATGATAGAATGTTGTACTTCACCTCTGCATCGATGCAAGCTACCCTAAGCCCTACAGAATTTCCATAACAGGTAATATTGCACAGCTAGTCTTCATACACAGCCCTACAAGCTCCGACCAATCACCGCGGCTGACTAAACCGGGCGGTGACGGAACCCGCCAACCAATCACCAACGGCCCGAAGCGGCTTCAAACTCGCCCAGCACCTCATTCCAATCTTCCCTTTGTTCCCAACGTCAAACACCCCTCCGTCCCCCCTCGACCGTTACTCCTGCCCGCCCGATTACAACAAGGACCATGTTCCTTCAGCGTACGGTGTCTACCCTCGCGAGGCGCACCCCCGTGCGGGGCCTTGCTGTCGCGCGCCCGTTTTCTTCGTCCGTTAGCCGATGTGCGTAAACCCGATCCTGGAACTGTGTTGTGTTTGTGAGAATGGAGGTGCTGTGGTGGTGGATTGGTTTTGTGAGGCCTGCGGGGCTCAATTGGGCTCTGTAGAAGGGTGGTTTTGGTGGATTGGATTGGAGACTGGTTAGGTCAGATGGGGTGGGCTGACTTGGATTTGTTTTGCTATAGTCAACAAGTACGAGGTTAAGGAGGCTAAGCTCCGTTCTCTTGACGGTTAGTATACACATTTACCGCTAGATGTTTTGATTTATCGGGCAATTGGTTGTGCAATATCCGGTTCGACGATCCGGGTTTACCGCGGGTGTTTGCGATCAGATGCTAACCACCGGAATGAATAGAGATCCAAACCGAAGAAGACCTCATCCCCCCCGGTGCTAAGCCCGGTACCATCCCTACCGATGTCGAACAGGCCACCGGTCTCGAGCGTCTCGAACTCGTCGGTAAAATGCAGGGCATTGACATCTTTGACTTGAAGCCTTTGGATGCTTCCCGCAAGGGTATGCCGCTTGCCTTTTTTCTGCGCTTGGTATGATAAGCGAATTTGGAGCTGATTGGTGCAGGAACTCTCGAGGACCCGATTGTTGTCAACGGTGCTGGTGACGAGCAGTACGCTGGTTGCACTGGTTACCCTGTTGACTCTCACCAGGTTAACTGGTTGACTGTATGATACTCCACTTTGGTTGTCGTCGATTGCAGACTAATGGTGCAGGTCTCCCGTGACCGTCCCCTCGAGCGTTGCGGCGAGTGCGGTAACGTCGTCAAGCTGAACTACGTCGGACCTGAGGAGGACCCTCACGCCCGTATGTCTCTACCCTCTGTCTTGCCATTGATCATCTTCTGACGGTATACACTACAGACGACCATGGCCATGGCCACGGCCACCACGCTGCTCCCGAGGAACCAAAGACCTTTGCCGACTACGTCAAGCCCGAGTATTGGTACCGGTAAATACCCCCCGTACGACGCGCGAGTTTCAAAAAAGAGAATAAGAAACAAGCAAAGGGACGGATAAAAACGGGCTAGTACCAGAGTGTCAAACGCAACGTATTTAAGTATTGGGTCTACTATATACGGGTTCATTCACGTCTTAATTTCCCGGTCTAGTCTTTTCCTTGCAACGTTCTTTAGCTTGTTTCTGCTTTTATCTGTACACCGACACCGAAGCTGCATGCATGCTCTTTCATTTGTTTTCTTAATTGTAGAATAGTTGTGGATGAATGAAGTGTTCAATACTAACAATGTAAGAGCAAATCCCGAGATTGAGTATGGCATGATCATGATTTAATTTCTAGATTGAGCGGGCGGAACGGAAGAGCGGATGGGATGTCTCCGGCCGATTGCGGAGTCCTTTCCCGCAGCATAGTATGCCCTGTAGGGTTCTAGATAGAGAGAATCGGAGTAGATGGGCTTTCGCATTTGGTTAGGTCTAGGTCTAGAATGGCAGAATAATATTTGATTGTACTGCTTCTATAAACAATGTAATGTGGATGAGATCAAAGCGATGAACTTTTGGTGATTGAGAACTCGTAGGTCTCATATATACTGAAAACACTTTTCAGTCGAATAACCTTTGTTGAACAGGGTTAATTTATGGGAAGCTTTATCGCCCAAAGAATTTGAGCTCAAGATACCTCAGCGGCGGATAAGCCACCGCAGCCCACGAGCAACCAACATAGTTACCCATCTACACCATTAGCATCCTTTCACACCAATTAAAACCAAGAATAGAAGGAAAGGGGAAAAAGACCTACATCAGCACCATACTCCCCCACAAGCCCCGCCAACGGCCCAATATACCAAACCTGCGCCATACAAAGAACAGCCCCGACCCAACCCACACAAAACGCAACAAACCCCGCGACTCCAATCGGGAGCTTTGAAGGATCATTCCAAGAACCCCAAGCGTATCCGCTACGTCGGCGGAAGATATATCGTTCTTCGAGGAGGATGCCGAACCAGATAGCGACCCAGTAGCCCATCAACGCGAGGAAATTCGTAAAGATCTCTGAGAGATGGCTTCGTCCGACGAGCGCGCAGACGGTGTAGATGATTGCGCCGACGGTATTCCAGATTACGCGGGGAATCTTTTCCGCATACCGGCCGAGGACTTGAAAGTCGACGCCTGTGCAGTAGGTGGGCGCGATGGTGTTAGCGATGAGGCCGAGGGCGACGACGACGGAGCAGAATTTGCCGAAGTTGTTGAGTGGGGAGAAGCCCTCTACAATTAATGCGCCCTGACCCTGATTGTATGCTGCGCTGTAGGCTGCATTGGTGTTTATGCCTGAGGCGAGACCGATGCCGATTAGGAAGGCCATTGTGAAGGAGCACATGAGGCCTGTGAGAGTTAGAAGGAAAATGGATACTCGGGAGGTGGTGGAGGGATAGTAGACGAAAAAGTCTGCGGCGAGGGGGGCGTAGGTGATAGCGGCGCTCATGCAGAGAGAGAAAAAGGAGAGTCTGTTGCCGGCGACTGTGCGAGGGTCTCCTGTTGAAGGGGTTGAGAGGTCATAGTTTGAGGATGAGACGCCGAAGAGGATGCAGATAACGATTAGTTGGGGGACCCAGGCGAAGCTGGTGTGGTTAGTACTGCGTTGATGACTTCCTAGGACTTCCCACTCACCGTTCGTAGTAGTGGAAGACGTGTATGCCAAATGTGGCTACGGCCCAGCTGATGATGGCGATGATCACGATGCCGACAGCGACTGACATGCTTCCATGCGGTGACACTGCAGACAGGATTTGTCCACCAACGACGCAGTCGATCAGACAGTACCCGATCATTTGGATCAAGTTCAAGATGACAACAATCTTGCTTGGCCACCATCCCATTGAATAGCGTCCGAGGGCCTAATACTGTCAGTTTTCGGCCCTAAGAGACACCAGAAACAGGCGAGGCATACCATTGTTCTTATTCCAGAAAGAGGCCCCCAAGTAGCCATCCATGAGGCAACCGAAGCGCCAACGAATGCCCCAAACACTGCGCAAAGCGATGCGTCCATAAACCCAAGTCCATACGAAGCCGGTCCCAGCATCCCAAGGGTTACGTTGTTAGCAGCCAGGTTGATCGAAACCCAGAGCAATGCTGCCTGCAGATACGAAACCCAGGACAGCTTCTTCATCCGTTCGCTCTCATGCACCCGTTCCAGTCCACGTGCTTCGAGATTATACTCGACCAGATACTGCTCGAATTTCCTGAGATATAAACCAAGCCGTCCTGGCGTAGGTCTGCCGCTGGCTACATCGCCACCATGACCATCATCGCCATATTGCTTCGGTTCGAATGGTTGTTCTGTCGACTGGACCTTCGAATCCAGTTTCTCCGTGCACTCCCCTAGGGAGGGGTTTTCATTTTCCGGGGCCATGCTGCTTATGCGATCAGTATTCCATTCCATGTGCTGGGGAAGATGCGCGCATGAGTCCTTTCGCTGGAATTATCCAGATCAAGTTCAACCGTATAATCTCAGAACGACGACTGCGCCAACCGCATTCTCAATGTTTCTTATTGTTCAGAAAGCAATCGAGATCGTGAGGTAGACAAATAGTCGACGAACACCGGTCTTCATGCAGGCACGTTACCTAGATACCTTGATCGATAGACAACTCCACGCTACTCGTGTTCATGATAGCCATCCGTCGTAGCGAATTGGGAGAGAACGGGAGTAATACACTGAGATCTCAACAAGTACCTGGCAGGAAAAGAAAGAAAAAGGTGTCAGTCAAATTTGGTTCTCGGTTATGTCGCAAAACTTTATCAAAGGGATTTCACCTTGACGGAACTGGACACTGGCACTATAATTGACCTTGAGCCGTGAGGATGTGACAACAGTAATTATTATCGCCTGTGCGATGCGACAAGAATAAGATTAAAAATAGGTCGGTCAAGGGAAAATAACGGGAGAGAGTGAGGAGATTTGATGAGAAGATCGAAATCGCGGCGGGGAACGAGAACAGAACTCCGAACCACAGCGTTGCCAAGACGTCACAATTTAGTAGTCTATTTGCCTTAGGAATTGCCATACCACGCATAACTATAGGAGAAACATGTACCAAATCAAGTGTTAACTAACCCCAAATCTTGGATTCATGGCTATGCAATTCGTGGATATGCTGCCTTTGCATCGGGGAGAAGATGCTCATTAAAGATGCAAGAACCGTGTACAGAAGAAAAACAGAAACGAGAAAGCCAAAGCTAAACTCCAAAATCTTCCATCGTATATAACCCATACTGTTCTCGAGGTGTGAGGTGCGAGGCGCTCTGCGTGAAACTGGGACCAGAAAATGTGCCCCAAACATGCTGCTGACATCGTCGACGGTAGGGTGGAGGGGAAAAGGATGAGAGGATAGGTGCAACAAGTCGTTAAACAAAGTCGTCACTTCGTCAGGGTCCGGGCGCCCTTCACACATTACACACTCTTGAAATGTTCCTTTGCATATTGCTCGCATGCCTGCCATGTGAGAATCCGGTTCAGCAGGGTCCGACAGGAAGATATCGAAAAATATATTTTAAAAAAAAAAAGAAAAAAGAAAAATAGAAATTCACCTTTGCAGGCTTCCCGACTTTCTGCCCAATGGCCTTCCATTTGTTTGCTTCGTATTCTTTGATCGCATCGCGGAGTGCGACAGACTAATTCGCGGGTAGGGTTAGAAACAACATGTGGTGCAGATGCGTCATGATCGGCCTTACCTCGTCCTCCGCGAATTCGGCATAGTGCATGTCCTGCGTTAAGATGTCAGCAAGAGGCAAATGTTTCAACGATTCCCAACAGTTTCCCACCTTGTACCAATGTTTCTTAACGCTACCTTCAGTTCGAGCCGGGAACGTCTGCGGTACCCAAGAGTTAGTACTGAGCAGCCTTCCCAACGGAATGATCATCATGTTGGGCGCCGACGAACCTTGGCGATCTCACTCCAGCTGCGACCAGCATCACGCATCGACTTCAGTCTCTGTTCCTCCTCTGCCGTCCAGGGCGTGTTAGTCCTCCCCTTCTTCTTGGGCGCTGGTCCTGTCTCTACAATACTGGCGACATTAGGGTCCTGCGCGAGACCCGTAGAAACCGGAGTCGCCATGGATGCCGTAGATCCTAGATGAGGCGATGAGCGGCGCTTGCGCGGATTCGAACCGGACTGCATCGGAGCCTGGGAAAGGGGAACTCCGTCAAAAGGACTCAAGACGCCGGGAAAAGGGTGAATTTGCTGTTGTGGGATTAGGTGAGACGGTGCGCTGACAGGGACGGTTGTTTTGAAACGCTTGGGATTTGGAGGTGACCTGGTCCAGGAAGAAAGAAGTAAGTGAATGAGAAAGAGGGACAGAGGTACAGACAGCCACGGTCTGTCAGCACAAATGGGAAGTTCCCGCGATAAACCAAAGACACAGCACATCAAGCAAAATAATCCGGCCTGATAAAGAATAAGTAGAAAAAAGAAAGTGACATCTGCTGACAAAGTTGTCTTTCTAAGAAAGCTGTTGGACTTACGACATGGTAGTAGAGACGCAGGTTTCCCAAACACACTGCGTCGGATCATCTGTACATACACAGGCTTAGGAGATTAGCAAATCTGCTACTGGAAACTGCATGAAAAATTGGTCCTCGAGTCTAGGAGAGAGGCAAAAAAGGGCTCTTGTTCGTTACACTAGAAGCAACGATGACACGGGCGCATCCCACGGCGTGAGCACAGCTATATCGAAAGGAACAGAGGGGTCCGGTATATGGTAATGTAATTATATAGAGTCACAGAACCCCCAGAAAAAAAAATAAATGAGGTGGAATAAGTGAATCTGACTGTTGCGACTTGGAGATACAAAATGAAGCTGGAGTTCACAAGATGTCAGTCCATCGAGCATGTGGGGTAGGGCGATACGACGTACTCTTCAGTAGCTTACCCGATACAGCAACAAAAGAGATAAAAGTACCGTTGGGTTGCGGAAGAGATAATATACACAAGAGGTTGAAAAGAGAGGGAATATCAAGGGGAAAGAAGCCAAAGGTACAGAGGGGAAGACAGCCAGAAGGAGGGGAGACACTCAGACCCGCGCCTCCGAGTACTCACGGGATTCTGCTCACCACATTCGTTAATATTAGTCCAACTGGAGACGTTCTGCATGATAAACAAGAGACTGAATTATCTTCTATTGCTATATTATGATGCGATCCAAGCTGCATGCATACAGTGTGTGTATGTTCCTCCCGGACATGTTGACAGTGTCCGTTTCCCCTCCGTCGAGCATTGCAAAGTCCGAACAAAAGTACACACGCCACTGGTGTCTTTCCTGTACTTGTAATACCCTCTCTGTTTCTCCAGTCAGATTTGATCCCTGTCATTCTGCAGAGCAGCCACCGAACCGAGCTGATACCGAAAGAACACCTCTTAATGGCTGAACTATAGTACGCCTATCCTCGGCACCAAGCTGACACTTCCAGATGTTCGTACCGTAGGGCCGCCGGCACCACGATTTCTTTCGTGAAAACGACTTGGGATTGTTGATACAAACAATGAATCTGAAATGAAACCATTGTATGGAACGTCCGGGGCCATGCAAAGACCCGGATTGGATTCTTATATCGTAGCAGATATAATGGCCAGTGCTTTAACCGCCATAGAGGTTCTGCATAAATAGCGCTTGCTGACAAGAGTCGATCAAGTGTCACAATCGATCTCTTCAGTAAGCAGTAAGCACTAGCCCGAGGAATCATCTGCATGCCGTGAATGTGTTGAAGTTGCTTCCAGGTGAGACGAAAATATCCATAGTCATAGCGGATTTTTCTCCATAATTGATCAACCGCATTGTTTGCGATATAGACTCATGTTTCTCAGTAAAGAAAACACTGATGTCACTGTCGAAATATCACGTGATGCACACGCGGCTCAGCCGTCCGGGGAGCGGAACTAGGCTCCTTTGGGATGCGGGATAGTGTGATAAGGACAGGACAGCGGCTGGTCCATCCGACAACTGCCTACTACAGTACTACTGGAAAGCACGATTGACTGCCTCTTGAACTATATCGATTTTGGTCCAGGTATTTGCATGCGGTACCCGCATACTCACCAGTGGCAACTAACTGCTGACTGCTTATCTAGGATAGAGCTTCCGATACCAGACCTACGCCGAGCTCCCATACTCCTCCGAACCGAGATTGGACGTTATTGTTAGCTTTATATTAGTACAGCCGTGTTGGAACAGCTCGGGGTTGACATGAAGGGGTGATTTCGTCACGAAACCTATGGTTCCTTAAGACGACACGACCACGCGACACATCGTCCACCATGAGTCTGAATTTCTTTCGTTTAGTGGGAGACCTCTCCCATATCTCTTCGAAATGCATATTGATATGGGCCATTCATCGAAATAAGAGCGCCGAAGGTATGGTATAGTGGACTCCTGGTGTCGACTTGAGCTCGACTGACCGTTGTGTTCAATAGGCGTCTCATTACTCACCCAGATGCTTTATGCTGCCGTGTTCGTGACCCGATACCTCGATCTCTTCCGCGCAGAAGGATGGAATAGTTTTTACCTGGTCTCCTTCAAGCTGTTCTATATACTCTCGTCCTTCTATATCATCTTCTTGATGATGAAGGTCTATCCCCGGACAAGGGAAAGGGAAAAGGCATGGAAATTGGCGCTGTGGTCTCTGGGAGGGTCGCTTGTGTTAGCCCCAATCCTGCCGGCTTTCTACGGAAGAGGATACCCCTATCATTGGTTCACGGAGGTGAGTCTCGAACAACATGAGGTAACTCGAATCGCGACTAATAGAGCTGATCTTATCTAGATCTTCTGGACATTCTCTATCGTCCTAGAGTCTGTCTGCATCCTTCCCCAGCTTCTTCTCCTGCGCCAGACCACCGTTCCGACCGTCATTGATTCCTACTACCTTGTCACCCTAGGCTCCTACCGAGGCTTCTACATACTGAACTGGCTTTGGCGCGGTTTCGGAAAGGAACATTACTGGGATCCTATTGCGGTGATCTTCGGTATTGTTCAAACCGCATTTTACCTCGACTTTGCTTGGGTGTACTATTCACGCCAGCGTGTGAAGCTTCGCCAGGGTGGGGTGGTCGACTCGGAAGACTTCAGCAAGAGCTGGCTGGTCAACAAAGTGTTGAACTTCCGATCACGAAAAAGCACCGATGAAGAGCAGGACTTGCATGATGGGGATGTAGAAAACCAACCAGGAACGGACGCCAGGCCTAGTAACAACCGCTGGGGAGCTAGGGGCATTTCCATTTCTGCCGATGATACATTGGACAACCAGAGTCGCCCTGGACCTCACGCGGACGATGATGGGTTGGAGGGAATCCTTGATGATGAGGACAGCGGGTCGGACGAGCAGGGCCCGCACAAGTCGTCGCCCGTTAGTGGCCACGGTTGATTTGTTGGTTCGTGAGGGTGGCTTAATTATGGATATTTTGATATTTCTTGGCTTTCTTGAATAGCCATTTTACTTTCATGCCATGTTGCCTGGTTGCTTATGTCTCAACGCACTTTAGCGCGTGCGTTATGATCTATATTATTTTGGAAATAGTTATCTCATTTTGGCCTACCATGTGTTCAATTGTAAGCTGGGCGGAGCAATTCTTCAGCTTAGACGATGAAACACCCTCCGTTGTCTCAAATTGGATCTAATTCACGGCTACTGTGCCAGATCATCAATATGATCTCATTGAAGTGCCTTACTGTACAGTTTCAGCTGAAATGAGCCTCCTAAGGCTGTGTTGGCCCTCTTGTGTCGACCACGTGACTGGCAACGACGACGACGACGACGAGAACAGCAACAGCAACAGCAACAATAACAACAATAACAACAATAACAACAATAACAACAACAACTGCAGCACCAGAACTACAGGACAAAAGTGATCCCGATATCGAGAGTTCGTGAGCGCCAGATTTGCTATGGGCGTAGGTCTCGACAGCGGCATCGGCAGTGCCGGCTGTCTCTTGTCATCATCACCGGCCGACTAAGCGCTATTCTCTTTGCTAATGTCATCGAGAAAACGTGGGTATTTGAAAAAGCATGTGGCTTTGGATTATCCCATATCGCTCCCTTGGCCTACAGTAATACTCGCATTTTTTCCCGAGACTGTCCGTATTCAAGCTGATATGACACGAGATGCTATTCCTTTCTTGCTAGGCTCACTTCACAGGCGTCTAGCGGCATCCCCACCACAGAAGCGCTTAATGGCCCGCGAATAATGTGCACTTATGGATCTGTCTTTGACCAGCTCCGATCTTCGTTCGTGCCTTGTTCGTTGTGTCGATCGCCAGTGCACTTCGCCATCCTTTAGCGGTTAAGAACAGGATGGAAGGTTACCTGCATACTGACATCTGGATAGGGAACTGCCATCATGGTTCGGGGGATTGCCAAGTCATCGACTCAATCGACTCCTAGCGCTAACCTTCCTCTCATGATTTGGTCCTGGCTCCCAAGGCATCTCGGAGTCTGCTTTCAATTCTCCCATCTCATGCACTATGTCCCGCCCGATCCAAACTGTCGGGTTCTCTCTGTGTTTTCGGCGCCACCGCCGCCGCTGCTCCCTATTATCCGTCATCCCCCTTTCTCCCTAGAAAATGCGCTGCGGTGGGTGAGCAATGAGGATGGATACGGAGCCTGCGCCGCGGGAGTTCTTTTTGGGGGCTGGAATCCTTGATTCACGGTTACTCATACGGCACGGCCTGCTTTCCCCCTTCCCCCGCAAGCCCAGGGGGATTATAAGCTGGCGCTTAAATTCAGTTTGTTGTCTCGAGTACGCATCTATCGCTAAGAGCCTCTTGCATGTGCGGCACAGCCATTGCCAGCGGTATTCGCTTTGCTGAAGTGACCTGAGCTTGTTGTTGACCGCAGAGAGTCTGGGTTTTTGGCCCTGCCTTGCGAGGCATTGCGACTTCTCAATAAGTTGTGATTCTGATATATGAAATGGCGCAGCACGTCTGTGGATTACCTTTTTTTTTTTTTTTTGTGTTTTTTATTTTATTTTGAAATATATATACTTGCCTTGGTCGTGGCCTGAAAAAAGAGCAAGCTTCAGGGCAATCCTAGTAAATTCTATTCTTCCTTCAAGCATTTTTTTTGTTCACAGTTTGAAATTGCGACCGCTTCCATTGGGTTGTTTTATTGTTGGGCTCTACTGAGATTCTTATATTGCCGTCGTTCCTTCGAATTGGCTTTTTTGGATTCCTTACATTTATACCAACTCGTTTGTTGTTGTCTTGTGACAGGGCAACCACCATGGCATTTCACGGCCAACCCGTCCCAGGACAGGGACTAGAAGACTTCTACCAGAACCTACAAGCACAATGGACCGGGTTAGACGCAGTATGAAAAACATCCATGTGCCACGAGAAATCCAACCAAGACTGACGAGATCTAGCCCCCTTACGTGAGCGCCAATCGCACCTACTGCACAACAGCATTCCCTGCCACTTCCATCTTGACCCCAGTCAGCCTCCCAGACAGCGCTTTCGCCCCTACAAGGCCCAGTCCAGTCCTGAGTCATCACTCGCAAGAATACCAACACAGCCTCAATGATCCGGCCCCCACACAGCATGGACTAGGCATAGCCGCACCCTTCCCGGGCGATTACCCACGCAACATCTCCTCAGCAATAGGATACCCGTCAGAGGACATGCATTACCATCCAACCGACGCGGCTCTTTCTCCCCACCCACGCCCTGCAAAACGGGCCCGCCGATCCTTCAAACAACAACAGCCACCATCCCTGCGGGAAAATCCCGTATCGATCCTCCCGCACCCAGAAGGAATGCAGCGCCTCGAGCAGGAACGCCGGCGGGGACAAACTGAGGCTCATGCGCATCAGCGGCCACGCGCTCCGGGCCGGGGACGGAAGGATCCACAGGCTGAAGAAGAGGATGCGTATGTGGAGGGACTGCGCGAGCGGAATCTGGCGTGGAAGGTGATTCGGGAGATGTTCCGGGAGAGGTTTCAGAAGGATGCGTCGGAGGCAAGGTTGCAGATGAGGCTGTTGCGTCGTCGTAAAGAGCGTCTTGCTCGGTGGGACGAGAGTGATGTGAGTATGTGTGCCATCTTCGTCCTTTCCTTTCCTTCTTTTCTCATATTAACACATAAACTATCAGATACAGTTGCTTATAAGAGCAAAAGATTATTGGAAACATGAGAAGTATCAACTTATTGCGCGAAAGGTGAGCACAATTTTCCCAGCCTTAGACAAGAGGCAGGTCACTGATTGATACGACCAGATGCAAGAACTTGGCTCCAGGAAGTCATATACAGCAGAACAATGCGAAGCACAGCTTCAAATTCTCGACAATGAACAACAAGATAGGGAAGAAAGGACCACACCCTCTATTGTCCATTCGTCAATACCTGGATCAGACCATACCCAACGACGAGCTGCATCGAGATATCCCCCGAAAGTAGCGGTTACTACAAGTGGATAGACTTGGTTTTATTTCGGTTATGAGAAATGAGATTTGTTTGTTTAATCTATGAGCATGGAGTTATAGAGGAGGGTTGTTATTTCAAGATTCATTGTATATATGTTTTGCTTTTGACACTTACAGACCCTTGCGAATTCCAAACTAATGCTATTCTGCCCTTATCTTACATACCTTCCCTCTAATTTGGGTAGGTAGTCTATTTATGCCCACCAGAGTCAAAGTGACAATTCAGATTGCCTCCATCCGTCGAGTCGCCATGAGGTCTATTGTAAGGGCTACAAAATCCTCTTTTTATAACCTACCATTCACCACTTTCATCCAGCTCCAGAGTATATTAAGACACCCAGGGCCCAGTAGCCCTATCAGCAATTAATTCAAAACCAAGATCTAAAATATACCTTCGGATGGAGGCCGTCAAGGCACTGGGCAGAAATTAGATGGAAACCAAGTTTCCCATGAGGCATGCCATCATCTGGGAAAACCACTCTAGCAAAACCGACTTTACCATCGTTATAATTAATATAGTATGAAAAAGTGATTACGGTCATTCTATCACGCCCCAATTAGTGATATTTTTTTCAGGAATACAGATTCTCTTACCTTGATTATTAGATTTCGGATATGCTACTCGTAGCCGACGAAGCTCAACCAGTATACACACTTCAGCTCTATGGATAGGCCTTATCAAGATATAAAACTGTTGCTAAAGGGCCTAAGCTGTGATTTCTCGGCATCGTATCACTGGAGCAGTTGAACCCCCGTTCCCTTTTGAGCAAATCTAGTCCGGATTGCGCTTTTTCATTTTTGGCTCGCCTCGATCACCAAGCCATGTCCATGGATATTATGCTTAAGCAGAGCTCGGGGAGATTCGGAGACGCGTACGTCCAGAAGATGGAAGTCTTTTGCTGTGAGATTAAAAGGCTGTGGATATCTATTTGAGACGTCAGATAAACTCCTACTGCAATGCACAATGACACAATGACCAAACTGCTATAACAACCAATAATATGTATAGTGGCACGAACATCTCGATATTACCATGCCGATGGCAGCTAAAGAGGCCGGGTTATACCTTCCAATATGAGAACCCCATTCCAATATGAGGGTTCACATCTATCCCTCTGCTGCAAGAAGAGATGGTTCCATATCAATTAAGCAATTCCAAAGAAGCTGTGGTACATGTGTTGCCATCTAGGATGCACCAAAAACAAGCAGATTTACAGGTACTAGAATATATATTTCCCTCGCTAAAACTAGTTTGATATATCGAGTACCCTGAGGATCCCAAAACCCACGGCGCTCTCTCCAGAAAATTTAACCCGGTATCACGCATTTCTGTAAATTGCTGGCCGAAAGCTCTCCAAAACACGCCTTTGTACAAGCTCACATGACAAATTTGCACCAGCTAATGGCTAGAAGTAAAGTTTCAAGGTGAATCTTTATGGCCAGGCAATTGTGCTCTGGATTTAGGTTCCATTTGGGGAAGCAAAAAAATAAAGCCTCGATTGATATCGTTTGGATTGTGCTTATGATTCATATCTGTAGTATTCAATTCAAAACTATGTATATCCCAATTTCTCCTTTACAATATTTAAAAACGGCGTGTTCCAAGCCCTCCTGCGCAACCTGCCAGCAAAAAGCGTAGGAAGGGAACGGGTCTCCAGCCGCGATATTTGAGACGGGACCATTTTGAAAACACGCCAGGAGACTGTGATGTAGATGACAGTATTCCAGAATCCCTGGAGCGGTAGGACGAAGCTGGAGGCATATGTTAGACCGAAGAGATACTGGTTTGACATGGATAATGCGTAGACTCTGTTGGCTGACGATGGCACCTGTACGGTGTCAGTTGGTCGAGTAGCTTGAGATAGTAGCCAGGTGACTAACCCAGGTAATGAGAAGTGCTAGAAAGAAGAGCACCGCGTATTTACAATAAGCTTGAACTGCTACCGCCTCGGGAGACGAGCCTGAGATGCCTAGGCCCTGCGCATCACCAGGCGTATTTGGGATGTTAAGAGGAGGATGGACCTGGTCGCTGTTTGGATCCTGGTTTTGGGTTGACGGATGTCCTCCGTCTGAGGCATTTGCATCTGCCTCCACGAAGACCGGCATTTCGCTATCAATGGTTGTGTCCGTGTCGATGTACTTGTGGAGTCGTCTGCGCTGCTTGAAGATGTAAATACCCACACGAGCATATATGCAAAAAGTCAACCCGATAATAAGCCAAACTGGTCCGTAGAACAGGGCTATTTGCAGATAATCCCACTTCAGTGATATCCAGCACCATTGCTGCAGGAACAGTTAGGCCGTGTTCTGAATCGAAAGGGATAGAACTTACGACTGCAGGACCATATATTCTGCCATGGGATTTGCTCCCGATAAACAAAAGCACAAGAGCCGGAACAAATGGCAGACCGTAGCAGAAGAGAAAGTACTTCCACTCCAACGGCCGCAGATGATCGGTTCTGTAACGATGGAACATGGCCAGATATACGTTGCAGGCCATGACAAAAGCCCATAACGAATCAGCGGGTACGAACCTATACACATCAGTCCAAGACTCACGTGGTAAAACCAAGCGAAACTAACCACTGAATCATAAACGCCTGGAACTGACATAACGCACTATTTGCACCATGATCAATACCCGATTCAGAAATCAGCGTGCCAACATTGGCCATAACATTCCCGAAAGTCGCATAGAACACGAGACGATTAATGGGCCTCCGGAAGTTCCTGGACCCAAGGAACGTTACAATGATGATGCACGAGGCGGCGACAGAGAACGCCGAGCAGACGCGCTCCGTGATGGAGATGGCGGCCACTTGTTGCCTACTGAAATGACAGCCATTTTCGCACATGAGCTCTTAACGTATTCGCATTTCAGAGCGCCTCTGGGAAAGAGTGGATTTTCGGGGGGAAATTCTGAGGCTCGGGATCTTTTTAAGAGAAGCCTAGAGTCCCCGTGGTTGCTAAACTTCCGGAACTGGAATTGCACGTTCCATGGGGGGGGCTTAACCGAATGATGTCACTGTGAGATTTAGTAATGGGTTGGATCTGCGAACACAAGCATCCATAATACGGAGTACATGATAGGCGGCCGATCGTTATTTGTATTCCGGGACTTTCGGTTTAATGGACATAACGAGTAGAGTTAGCGAACTGTATTCCGAAGTACGGAGTATGTCAGGCACATCTGACTATGCACCAGCCACATGGAGTTTGATGGGCCCATAGTGACGTAGATGGTCAGTGTTGCGGCCTGCGAACTATACCTGCCTGATAAAGTAGGCATGAACCAGTCCTGCATGTGACACGCTGACAGGGGACTGCCTTTATTGTTGTCGTCTCCACGATAGTACTTCCTGCTACGATGCTCTTCGCAATAACACCAAGTTGCTCATGCTGGGTCTTTGGCTCTAAATGGCAGCATCCAATTTGGGAAAGCCACTTTGAAGAAAGTATCCAGTGTTTGCGGCGCGAAGCTTGGATGCTAAAGTTCGATGTGGAGGGAGATGTGCCCACGGAGTTGCTACAGTCTATGTTACGTTAGGAGCCTGAAAAGCGGTTGACTACACAGGGTGTATTGGATAGCAAGTGGACGGGGAAGTGGGTGTTGCTGGAGTTGAAAGGGCTGTTCGGGAGAAAGTAGCTTAGAGTGAGGACAGGTAGGCTGGTCCTGCCGCGAGAAATCCATCTCTATGCCTTTCTAGACATGGTTACCCCCGATCAGTCAAGCATCGCGCTAGTAACCGGAAACAAGCAAGAATGGTCTAGTCCCACAGCTCAAACCAGATATATATATATATCATGACACATAATTCCGGATATCATTCAACATGGCAAATAACACCAAAATGCTTATTCCTCATCCGAAAAGTCCTCATCTGGAATCGGAAACGTGCACAAAGCCGCAATACCTCCCAGCCCATCAAGTCTCGTCCCACTCTCATGATCCGAACTAAGAACACGAACGTCACCACCCTCAATATCCCTCACCCGATCGACAAGCGACACCCATCGTTTCCGCTCCGCGACATCCTGCGATCGGAAAAGGCGGTTTGAAATGATTAAGACACCACCCCCGCGACCAACGGCGCCTTGGTCAACCGCTGATTCGACCTCGCGCGGTCCATAAGTGGCTTTGTTGGTTTCTTTGCGGAGTTGTTCGAGGAAGTCGTCCATGAGCTTGGTTTCACGTGCGTATTTGGTGTCGGCTAGGATGGTTTTCACGGCGGGTGATTGCAGAACTTCGGAAAGAGAGTGGAGATAGCCTGAGGCGGAGTGAACGACAACGATGCTGGGTAGAAGACGTTTGAGGCCGGGTGAGTTTGTTGCGACTGTTTGGATGTGTTTTTGGAAGCTGGTGGCGACGAAGCCCGGGGATGCGAGGAGGACTGGTCTGACACCTTCGCTGCTAGTCATAGAGGTGATGCTGGTGTTGAAGTCGAGTTGGCGGAGGAGAGTGTCTAGCGTGGTTTGGTAGAATTTAGACATGCCCTGACGCAGGTCAGTATAGAGTCCACCAAACCAAATGAAGGAAAACAAACCTTATCATGTTCACTACCTCCCATCCGCTTCCTAGGAACCGACATCTCAACCTTCTGCTTCAGAATCGTCTGGAATTGCCCGATAAAGCAAATGTGCGCAATCCCCTCCTGCATAACCACAGCCACAGCCTCAGCCCGCCGATTCCCACCCTCATCCACTGCATCCTTCAACATCTGGACCGCAATACTATCCCAACCCACACCCTCCCCATCGGCCCCGATCTCTTTCTCGAGCGTGAAGTTGCGATTCAACTCTAGATCCAGGGTATGATGTTGGCCGATCTTCGTGTGTGGAGTCTCGTTGACGATCTGCCCACCAACATGAAGTTGCGAGCTTTGCGGGTCAAAGTCGAGGTTCTTGACGCGGATTTCGAGGTTGAGGTGAACTCGTGAGGAGATCGTAGAGCCGGTATCTTGGGTGGTTGTAACTTTGCGGATGGCGCTGGCGCGCAGGAGATCGCCGGGGCGGATTAGGTTGTATGCGTGCCACTGTCGCATACAATTAGCAATGCGAGAATAGAAGCGCAAACTGGGAATAAATGGGTAGGTGTCTTACCATGTCCTCTGGTTCTTCGGGGCAGAGGGTGACGGTGCCCGAGCCGTTGAGCTCGACCTTGTTCTTTATTAAGCGCATTTCGCGTGTAGTGAAAGAAGTGCTAAAGAATTTGTAGGTATCTCGATCGCTAGGTTCTTGAGGTTGTTATTGCCAAAAGCGACTAAAGTAGAGTAAAGGTAGAGTGAAGAATGACGATCAACAAGTTGCAGGCTGCTTTGCAAAACAGGCGACAAGAGAGGTCGATGCGGGACGCTCTAAAATAGGTCTAGCGCTATTCGATGACGCTTATCGATAAGAGCTTCCTTGAGCCCTGAGCCCTAGTCTCCCGTAATGGGAAGTGCAGTGTCTTTGTACAAGAATCTCATTGGAACCACTGGGATTAGAGAATGAATGACTGAGTAACAACATCCTCAATCGACACAATACTCTACTCTTTTTACGTTGTCTCAGCGAAATAGCTGAAGACACCGTACTTAAGCGTACTCCCTCCGACCTCGGCCTTTGCGTCAGAAGAATCCCGGTGATATCAGCGCAGGCCCCACGTTGATCTGCGAAACAGTGGGAGACAAAACAATAAAGCATTTTATTAACCAATTGACTTTCTAGACTCTCTTCGGCCGATATGAACACCAGGGGACCCTCTAGATTTTCCGCACTTTCTTCTGCCGCTTATCAATCAGTTCATTTCCTGCCATTTTTCCCGAAGCATTGTTCTTTCTTCTTCACTTTACCATACAATACAATATACCCAAATATGGCTCTTTCGTCGCTTTCTTCGACCGCTAAGTTGATCACGGGATATGAGATCCCTGTTGTTGGTTTTGGTGTAGGTATTTCCATTCGATCCATGGAAGAATGTAGGCTAACGTCGTGGCCTCAAACAGGTCTACCAAACGTATGTTGCTGTCCAACGATTCAACGATAATAGATTTGATTTGAGAAATGGACAATTGGCTGACCATATCGCTGCAGCCCCCCGGATGTCACTGAGAAGACCACCCTGAAGGCACTGGAAGTCGGATACCGCCACGTATGTCTCAGTTTCCCTTATCTTCGAATCTTCATTGCTAATGCAAGTAACCATACAGGTCGACAGCGCCAAATACTACCAAAACGAAGCCGAATGCGCAAACGCCATCTACAAGTCCGGCATCGACCGTTCCAAGATCTTCTACACCAGCAAGATCCCCGTCCCCGCCCTTGGCACCTACGAATCCGCCAAGAAGGCCCTCGAAGAGAGTCTCGCGGCCGCCTCCAACCTGGGCTACATCGATCTAATGCTCATCCACGCCCCTTACGGTGGCAAGGAAGGTCGCCTGGGCGCCTGGAAAGCCCTCGTCGAAGCCCAAAACGCCGGCAAAGTGCGCTCCATCGGTGTCTCGAACTACGGCATCCGCCACCTCGAAGAACTCGAAAACTACATTAAGAACGGCGGCGGTGGCCAGATTGCCGTTGGGCAGTATGAGTTGCACCCGTGGTGCGGACGGATTGATGTTACTGAGTGGTTGAAGAGGCGTGGGGCTGTTGTGCAGGCGTACTCGCCTTTGGTGCAAGCTACGCGCATGAGTGATCCCACTTTGCTGGGGTTGGCGAAGAAGTATAATAAGACTGCTGCACAGGTTTTGTTGCGGTGGAGCTTGCAGAAAGGCTTTGTGCCACTGCCTAAGTCGGTCACTGAGTCCCGGATTGTTGAAAACGGGCAGGTGTTTGACTTTGAGCTGTCGAAGGAGGATGTAGACAGCTTGACGACGGATATTCATGCGCCTGTTTGCTGGGATCCCGCTAACAACTCTAAGCTTTAAGTGCTTGATTGGTAAACGTGACCTAGTATATAGTTAGAAGGCAGTCAATACCAATTGTACAACATCGGCATAGTATCTTACAGTACGGTCCTTCAATCGCTGGAAGATACGCAGTTGATGCCTTCTTGCCTTAATGTTGACACTCCGCAATCGGCATAACGTATCCCCGCCAAACAAAGCAACTGCAACGCGATAACGATAACAAACCACAATACTATAGAGTGTAGACATGCACATCGCAATCCAGCCCAACCATGCGCATCAAAGGCCGAAAATCTAGGGTCGACCGCCGCCTGCCCCAACGCGGAGGCCGATTCACCTCCGCGCAACTCGCGTGGATGGACCGCGACCAAGAACGACTCCACCGCGCACGAGAAAAGGAAAAGAAACGCATTGCGAATAAGAAGAGACAAGCAGAGAAGGAAGCTAAAGAGCGCGAAGAGAGGAGGAAAGAAGGGATACCTGATCAGCATGCGATGCCTGTGCCGTCTAGTCAGCCGTTGTTATCGAAGTTCCTTGCGAAGCCGCAGTCGAAGCCCGCATCGCCGTCTGTCGAAACACCAGAGCTCGAGGATGATGGGTTTGAGGGGCAATCTGATGGGGGTGACACGGAGGTGTGCTCGTTGGACAGTTATGAGGCGGGGATAGAGGCATTTGATCAGAGGATTATGGCGGATGAAGAGAGAAGGATGATGGAGAATCCCCCGGTCCTGATTCGATCGACGGCGGCAGATCTATTTCGCAGTGGTATTTTCGGTTCTACAGAGGACAGTGGGCATCATAAGCATGATGAGGGAACGCATAACGGCAACGAAGACGACGATGAGGATGCATTCTCGGAATGCTCGGCTTTCTACGATGAAGATTTCATTCGCGAGGCAGAAACAACCGCACAGGGGCAAATTGAACAGCAGAAGAAGGCATTGCAGTCGCAGGAAGGGCAATCAATACAGACAGTAGCGAAGCCAGCTGTTGTGGAAGCGCATCGGGGAGCAGGGGCTGGTGCAACCGCGCAATCCCAGAGTCAATACAAGGCAGCGCAACCAACAAAGCAGCCACCACCAAGATTGGCTATAGAGGAATCATTTCGAGACGATACAGCGGACTTTCTGGAACAATTTGGCTGCGATCTCGGCGCAGATGGAGAGTTTGCGCCAGACGAAGATTTTGAGAGGGAATTAGTCCAACTCAACGCGGGTTGAATTGCCTTTTACGAAGTACATTTGTATTGGGTATATTTTACTGGCGCATTGGATATCTGCAGGATATTGCATGATTTATGCAGCCCATTCTTATGCATTGCGCACATGCGAACATCCGACCCGTCGGGAGCTGTTCGGATCGGCAGTTCTTCTGTCGGATCGCGGCGATAAGCTCCCACTCCATTATCCCCGCCATGAACGAAGGCCCCTCGGCCGATCCGACGGATGCTACAGGTGAGAGGGTTAATGGAAGAGGAGAAACGGGGGAGGAAGGCAAAGAAGCAGATGGAAGATATTAAGGACATAAGGCACATCCATGGTTTCGAATACTCAATGCACCGCATAAGGAATATTGACGTCGACGTCAACGAGCCGTGAGAATTACACAACTGACAAGGTGGGCTTTCTTTATTAAGCGTAGCGTAGCCTTAGTCTACCCCAATTGGATCCTGTCTAATTGATTCTTCTCTTTTACAGACCCATTGACCATTGTCCTCATTGTACATTCATACGACGCAACCGCCAAAATGCCCTTCGTCGAAGTCAACACCCACAAAATCCACTACGCCGACTCCCACCCCGACGGCGCCCCTTCAAACGGCCTTACCTTCATCTTCATCCATGGCCTCGGATCATCCCAGAACTTCTACTACCCCGTGATTCCCTACCTCACTCCCAAACACCGCTGCATCACCCTCGATACCTACGGCGCCGCACGCTCCGAATATACCGGCCAGCCCATCTCCATCGCGTCCATTGCGCAGGATGTAGTCTCAGTGCTGAGTAAGTTTCAGGTTCCCCAGGCCGTGGTTGTCGGGCATTCGATGGGTGGACTTGTCGTGACGCTGCTGGGCGCGAATTATGCGGATCGCGTCAAGGGAATTATCGCAATTGGGCCTACTCACCCGTCAGAGACGCTGGTGAACGTTATGACGAAGAGAGCAGAGACTGTCTCGCAGTGTATGCCCCCCCCCTTCTTCCAGGTCCATCCATAGCCATGCTGTGTACAGGAGCTAATATAACTAGCTGGAATGGAACCAATGGCCAACACAATCCCCTTTGGCGCAACCGGCACCGGCGCCTCCGCCCTTTCCAAATCATTCATCCGCGAACTCATCCTAAACCAAACGCCCAAGGGCTACGCCGCGCTCTGCAACGCCATCGCCTCCGCTCCGTCCATCGACTACTCCGCCATCAACAAGCCCTTTCTACTGATTGCGGGCGAAGAGGATAAGTCTGCTTCGTTGGATGGGTGCCATTTTATTTTTGACAATGTGCAGGGAAAGGAGAAGCGGATGGAGGTGCTTGCGGGGGTTGGGCATTGGCATTGTGTTGAGGCGCCGGATCAGGTTGGGAGGGCGGTTTTGGATTTTGTGGAGAATGGGCTGTAGACATGTTCACGGAGGGGCCGTTATGATCATATTTGGATACCAATTAGATCATCTCTTATAGGTTATCTGGTGCTATTTAGAGACATTGATTAGAGTGATTGGCACCCGCGAAGATCATTGACACAGATCAAATACTAGATGAACATGTCGGAGGTGCCAGAGGCCAGTAATAATTGATTTGGGTTTATGCTCTTGGTTCTATGATAGAAGATAAGGCCCACGTATATTTCCATTACAAGGGCAATACTATTGTACGGAGTAATCAAAAGGTATATGCTTCTAAAAACTACAAATTCACACAACGCAGGAAAAAAAAGTAAATCACACCCTATTAGCTTTGCTCTCATTCGGCACCAACTTAATATCATATTCAAGCTCAAGTCCAGCTTGAGTATCTCCTTCGCGAGGGACAAAGTCCACAACCAACGAGTCCTTGACAGCGAAGACAGAGTCGTTGGTCAAATACGGGTCTTTGCTGTCGAAGATCTGGGTGGTGAGAGGCTTGTAGCCGTCGTAGGTGGCCTGTGATCATTAGTACAGAGAACAGAGATGATAGAACGGCGACGTACAATAATATGAATATGAGCAGGCCGGAACGGATGTCTATCCATAAGCTTCAAAACCTTCCCAGCAGGTCCATCATCCGGCACTGGATACGGCGTCGGCCGCAAACAATAATAAGAATACTTCCCCTCCTCATCCGTCCTAAATCTCCCGCGCAGATTATGCTCAACCTGCTCCGGATCCTGCTGTTCGTACAACCCGTTCGTTGATGCCTCCCACATCTCCACTGTAGCGTTTACGAGGGGCTTCTTGGTGACAAAGTCGATGACGCGGCCGTGCATGAAGACCATCTCGCCGCCCTTGACGCCTTCGACGACGTTGTCGCCGTTCTGGCGCCATTTGGTGTCGGGGCGGAAGAAGGGGCCTAGGATTGCGGTTGCGGTGGGGGTGTCTTCGGCTTCTTGGGCGAGTTTGTAGGTGATTTCGTCGACGAGGCTACCATCCAACCACGTTAGTTCCTTTCTCTGAACGTTTGAATATTGGAGCTGAGAAACGTACGATTCAAGTCCGATAACATCACACAGAAGCTGCCCCTCATTCCGCTTGTCATCACTCATCTGACCAGCCCAATTCATCATCTTGACACCAGCCATCCACTCGTCAACGGTCAAATTGGTCTCGCGCGCAAAGTCATGGACATGTCGGATCAGACTGGTCATGATCTCGCGGAATCGCTCGGGCGTCTGAGGGCCCATCGACTTGATGACATTGTCGGTGAAATCAGGATCGAAACGGTGGGTGGCCATTTTGTCTGTCTTTCGAAATTTGTATGATTGTTTACTTTAAAGTAAGTCAAGTAGAGAAAAAAGGCCGATTTATATTCCCCGACTCTGGCGCAATCACGGAATCCATGATTGGTCCACGGACGGCAATGCGCTGGGTTCCGGCGGATTCTCCCCAGAAGACGGAGTGACCCCGCATATTCAAAGCCATATTGCCGTCGGATTATTCTCAACGCTTTGTTGGACCGTTATGAGCTGGTGTTCGGAAGCTTAGAACAGAGTGTGCCTGTTCCGGCTGCTTGTCGGAAACGTAACCGTAGATTCGATCCGATGTTGGCTCCCCGCAATCGGTCGGATGTCGGATGTAGGCAGGTTCTGATTGGTTGGTGAATGCTGACAGCTACCGCTTGGCACACCGCCTACACATATTCTGCCGATTAATCTTGAAGATACCCCTTCCGCTTCTTCCCTACTTCTCAAGACGTTGTACAATCGACATCGTTAGATGGGAGATTGATTTGCTTGATGTGGCGTTGGTATAGCACTAAAATTGGAAAAGGCTCCAAGCACTACGAGAGCAGTATTCACTGCATGAACGCAAGAGATGAGAATGACCATGGGAAGATGACCCCATTCACTTTAGCTCGCATGTGGCCATCGAGGACAAGGGAACATTCACTCAACTGCACCAGTTGCTACGCATATGCGATATTATTCCCAGAATGAACTCTTTATTTACCTACTTATATACCATCTCTCAACAACTTCGTTTTCTCCGGGAGAGTATGTAAGAATCGTTGGTGTAGTCTAGGTTACGAAAACGATGAGATCAGTAGCGTTTGGCTGGAATATTTCTCTGCAAATCTCATCTGATTTTAGATAATCTCACATGTCTGTCGTAAAATCCATAAAACAATGCAAGCCAACAATGGTACTATATTGTATAGTCTGTCTGTTCGAGCGCCCTCAGGCAGTTCAATATCTCAAGGCAAGACAAAGCTTGCTCAGACTCCGACACAAATTGAGTAGCTACAACATTGAGGGCTGCCACAGTCCAGCTCGCTAGTTCATTACTGACCCTATGCATACCCTGCTTTAGCACGGTTTCATACACATGATCAGGACGTCAGAACCATGTAACCTGGCCTGCGGCTACACGCATCCCTTATTAATATGTATGTGCTTCCCTCGTTTTTCCCTCGTTTTTTATATTATGCATCATCTTCTAGACCATATCTCATACGGTGGCTTTGTGGTTTATAACAATTAAATCCACCAATTTTGGGACACTTTCGCCATGTGCTTTTGCAATCCCCAAACTTGATACAGCCAATACTTATCAAGAATGCCTCACCTAACCCCCCCTTTTCACTTGATCCATAATGTCCCCCCCAGAAGTCGTGCGCTGGGTCCTGTGCAATCTCTATTTCCTTCGACCGAGTTTCGATCAAACGCATGAAGCCCAACAAGTTCTGGTGTGCCTTCTGCAGCAAACCGAAATCCTTATACATGGCGGCAGTGAGCGGACACTGCAACACAGCACCATCATTAGACTGGGTCGGACGAGGACGGAAGAGGGCATCGTCAACCGCAGTAGATGGTGAAATATAAGAGGCATTACTGTTATCAAAATCAAGTTTAGGTAAAGAAAAAAAGCTAAAACCGGCAGCTCCAGCAGGAGATGAACTTTCTGGTCGAGGTTCCTTGGCTGCTGGGGAGTTTTCAGTAGAGTAAGGACGGGGTTTGATTTTCGATGCCTGCAACTGGCCCTGGTGCTCGATTTGAAGTTAGCATGTTCCGGGGATTCTGAGCTTCTTCTTAGAATGTTGTTCGCACCTCACCTACTTCTTAGCTGCTAGAGTTCTCGTCACCGATAAAGACTGCGCGGGAGACTTGGTGACCGACGAGTGCGATGCAGCTATGTCAGCTAGTTAACACTCAAGGTAAAGGAACCAGTACTATATACGAAGCGAGCATCCAATACCAAGAAAATGGCAATTCGCACATCCATCCCTAGGAGTGGTAACAACACAACTCAAAAACGGACCATAGTTGTTGGCACAGCTGGTACACGCCTGATCCGTCTCCATTCCCCTAGTCTGCACCAAAGCGGTCTCACTTTTTTTT